CATGATGTACATATGAGGCGCCGTTCAGGACATAATTAATTTTTCTGATATATATATTTTATTTGCAAATATTTATATAATTTGTACGTATTTATAAAATTTTTCCATATAAATATAATTTTTATAAAATATTTTTATTTTTTTTTATATACAAGTTTTTATTAATATTCAAAAATTTCTATACCTCAAAATTTTTTCTATATCTCAAAAAATTTTCTATACCCCAAAAAATTTCTATACCTCAAAAAAGCGTTTGGCAAACTTTGTGATAAAAACAGCTTTCATATTACGCCGCTAGATGGCAGCGCTGAAAACCGCTTTCATATACTTACCATGGTAAGTATATGACCGCTTTGAGCAACTATTATCTTTACGTTTGGCAACTAGGGCTGATACACAATTGCCCGAAGCAGCGTTCACAATCAAACGGGAACAAACAGGGATTTTAGCGTTTATTCTTATTCTATGATCTATAGTAATTTTTTGAATGCATATTTTGTAAACATAAGTTTACCTGGGATTAAAATGAATTAAAATCAATTAAAACTATTAATTTTTCATCAAAATAATAAGTTTGAATAGTTGGCACATTATACACTATATAGTGTATAATGTGCAAAGTATTCAAACCTATGGTTATTTTGATGAAAAATTAATAGTTTTAATTGATTTTAATTCATTTTAATCCCACGCGTACAAAAATAAGAAAAAAGTTTCTGTAAACATAGGTCGAGAAATGCTTTATAAGGGAGCTACAGCCCCCGAAAGAGGAGCCCCTGAAGATGGTTTTTATTTAATATCTCCAAAACCGTTCAAGATAGAAAAGTGAAATTTTGGGAATTGATAAAACTTTTTAAGGCCAATAAGATGTAATAATAACAATTTCAAATTTTGATATGATATCAAAGTTTAACAAGATGACCTTTTTTATTTGCAAAATTTTATATATATCTGATATCAAATCCTGGCAAAAGATACGTACAAAAAAGTTGGGGTGATTTTAACCCCTACCCCCTATCTATCTGACTACCGCTCATAAAAATTTTGAAATTGTTATTACATCTTATTGGTCATAAAAAGTTTAATAAAATCCTAAAATTTCACTTTTCTATCTTGAACGGTTTTAGAGATATTAAATAAAAACCATCTTCAGGGGCTCCTCTTTCGGGGGCTGTAGCTCCCTTATAAAGCATTTCTTGACATATGTTTATAGAAACTTTTTTTCTTATTTTTATACGTAGAATCTTCTGTTAAAGTATTGTGTATCAGCCCTAGTTGCCAAACGTACAGATAATAGTTGCTCAAAGCGGCTTTCAGCGCTGCCATCTAGCGGCGTAATATGAAAGCTGTTTTTATCACAAAGTTTGCCAAACGCTTTTTTGAGGTATAGAAATTTTTTGGGGTATAGAAAATTTTTTGAGATATAGAAAATTTTTTGAGGTATAGAAATTTTTGAATATTAATAAAAACTTTTATATATAAAAAAAATAAAAATATTTTATAAAAATTATATATATTTGGAAAAATTTTATAAATACATACAAATTATATAAATATTTGCAAATAAAATATATATATCAGAAAAATTAATTATGTCCTGAACGGCGCCTCATATGTACAAGTCCAATTGAGATTTTTTTGTTATTTTTTATCATGTTAAATTCAGCTACTGTAAGACCGACGCATTTGTATAAATAAATTTTTTTGCATACATAGCCTGAGACGATCTTTTGTTCGTCGGCAGTTTTGTTCCGTTGCGGTACAAAAACGTGACAACGTCGCAAACAGACCGATGCAAATTATAACCTTCAAAGGATGATGGTTTTATGCGGTAGAGCAATGCGTTTTATTTAATAACTAATGCTTGTTGTAAGAAAAGTATAGTTTTACTTACAGAGATATTTTGATAAATGAAATCACCAAAAAAACCATAGAATTATAAGCACTTTTGTCACTAAGTACATATAGATACATATACGGTTGCCAAATTTATGGAGGTCCAAAAACTAAATAACTATTTAACTAAACTGCGCACCACTCAATGTGTCGCGACCAAAAATTTCGTCCTTTGTCAAAAGGACATAACTTTTTTTGTTTCTTGAACGATTTTATTTTGGTTTGTGATGTCTGCTAGCCCCATTCTCTGGCAATTCATGCTATAGATATGACGCTCACGGTTCTTCAAGTAAATTTACTACAGGGTGATATGTAAAACAGTGAAAAATTTCAATTACTTCATCCAAGCCCCGTTTGTAAAATAAATATTTTTTTCTCGTTTTTACTTTGAAATAATGAAGTATTATGTCTTACCTTGAAACGTTTTTCAAATTTTTCGAATTGGAATCTTAGCAACAAAAATATGATTTTTTTTTCAATGGAGTACATTTGATGCTTTTTGTAGGAAATACACTCAGCCTTTTTAAGAACAAAAAGATAAGATGGTGAAAGATTGTTCCTTGAATAATTCTGAACAAGCGACAAGCAACAAACTTCCATTATTTTCAGAGGAACCTAAGCAATGACCACTTTTTCAAAATGACATTTTGGAGAAAACTAAACCTGAACCGATATTTACGTTCGTGACATGTTTGCTTTATAATTTTGACCTCCTGATGTGATTCAGTTGTCAAATTTAAGTTTTAGATGAAACCAACATCACCAAAATTCGAAAACAATTCCCGGCTGTTAAATGTCTCAATCATAGATAACATGCCTTTGCCAATGCCATTTGGGGATTCATTTTTGTTTGAGTGGTTAGGATAATGTTACATAAATTACATTACATTACGTGAAAAACCGTGAGCTTCATATCTATAGCATGAATTGCCAGAGAATGGGGCTAGCAGACATCATAAACCAAAATAAAATCGTTTAAGAAACAAAAAAGTTATGTCGTTTTGAAAAAGGACGAAATTTTTGGTCGCGACACATTGACTGGTGCGCAGTTTATATTATAAACAAAAAATATATAAAAATACCTTAAAACTTCTCTAGTTTACACTGATTTTTTGGTCCTCTATATCTCAAAGAATTTTGTCATATTACATTTTTAATATGTTTCTGTAAATCACTGTTTCACAGAATTTTTGGGAGACTCTCTATTATTAATATTTGTAAATACTATTTGCAGTGGCCGGTTGTACCTTAGGTCATTGGGTCAATGACCTCTCAATAAAAATGCACTATTCTTTTTAAATTGAAATTTACTAGTTTACCCACCAATAATTTACCGATAATATTTTAAGCGCCCCTCGTAAACGTCTACTCGGTTTCCCACATTCCCACATTAAGTGTGCAAATTGGGCTGGTGCGCGTCGTTGTCCTCAATTCGTAAAATGCATGAATCCAAACTCTGTCAATTTACGCTTAGAGCAAACTTAGCCCGAAGTTAACAGGTCAACAGCCGGGTTTGGGAAAACACTGAATAAGACGTACGTCATATCATCAATATTGTTATTATTACACGCTTGTAAAAGAGATGACAGGTTTGACCAGGGCCGGCTCCAGGGTACGTGCAGCCGTGCCCCTGCACGAGGCGGCAAAATTCGAAGGGCGGCAAAAATCGAAAGGTGGCAAAAAGTTATTCAATACAATACAATATAGGTTCTAAATTAGATATTTCCAATTTAATTTTAATTTAAACAGATTTTTTTTATTTTAACTACTGGTCAGTTTTATAATGTTAGATAAAATAATTATTATTGGAATATATTACTGTTTTTTTAGAATGCGATGATATTTTATTTATATGTTATTAAATAATAATTTTTTAAACTTTTTTGTTAATATTATCTTCCCCTTAATGCTACAACTGGAAAACTCGAAATTTTACCAATCCAGTTCTACTAAATACTTACATACCAATTTTAGAATATTTTATTTACAAATGTGTTTTTTCAGATATCCAATTGTAGCATCAAGGGGACGATATTATTTAAGTAGTTTTTTTTTAGAAATTGTACCTAATTAATGGGCACTAAAAAGTAGGTAACTATGAGGGGCGGCAAAAATATTTTTGCACGGGGTACCAAATTGTCTGGAGCCAGGCCTGGGTTTGACGTAGGTTTTATTTTATTCAATTTTTACTTTAGCTGTATATGGTGCATTTAATATGAATTTGAATGTTGGATTTGTTACATCATGTGTATTAGTCATCTATCTATAACAATATATATATATATATATATATATATATGGTATTAAATAATATTCATTTTAAATTTGAAATTAAACACCGTTTTAGTTTTAATGACAATTTAGTAATCGCTCAATTATTTTTAGCGACTAGTTTGAACCATATTTTAAAATCAGCAAAAGAAAACCTTTCTCGTGTAAACTATTTATGTAAAACTTAAAATTAAACTAAAATTTATTTATGTACAGGATGATTTCGCTAAAAGTTCGGTGGGCGTATCGTCGTGCTTATTATGGTATACAATTAGAAAAATACATGTTTCATAATACTATGGGACAAGAAAGACTGTCTGCTTAGAAAACCCATTTATAAACAGTATTGTTAATTATAATCGTGTTATAAATCATGTTGCAAATGTTAAAGTAAAAAAAACTTAATTCAAAAAAGTATTCTTTTCATATTCTTTATTTAGAAAACTGGGAATAAAGCAAAATTAGGGCGTGGCCTCGCATTTCACTTTGGCCCCCAAAATAACCACGATCTGCCAATGGAGATTTGTTCAAATATGAGCCAATAAAATGCCTAATATTTGCTCAACAACGCCAAACGTGTGTCATCGTTTTTTATACACGAACATTCCCAAAATTATACCAACGGTAACCTACCTATTTATTGGGCACTATTTGATAGTTTTTTGTTCAATCATAGCACAAGTAAAATGTTTTAGTTTGGTTTGTTACCTTGAATTTATATAAAAATTGTCTATCTGTAGAAATACGCCCCCTACCATGTATGTTATGCACTGCATGTTAAAACATTAAAAAAAAAGGGCAATTCATTTCAATCAGATATATTTAAACCTTACCTTGAATTTATATAAAAAAATTGTCTATCTGTAGAACTACGACCGCTACCATGTTGTGCACTGGATGTTAAACATTCAAAAGAAAAGGGCAATTCATTTCCATCAGATATATTTAAACCAAACTCTTGTAAAGTTTGTTCATCTGGAATGCTAAGAGGAATTTCTACTAGAGATGCGATTTGTTTGGTCCCAAAAACACTTATTACGTTTTCGTTTACTGAACTACTTCCCTCAGTGGCAACAATTACAGATTTATTACCATTTTTGTTAATATTGATGCATTTAAACCTAAAATATTAAACAAATTAGTAAATTTTTAAAAAGGAATTTAGTTATAGAGTATACGGCAATGTAGAGGGACCCAGGTGGGAGGAGCTAACGGGCGTTCACGCCGCATGCTTCAAATATCCAGTGGCGTAGCAAAAACAATGGCGTAACATCAGGGAGGCCAATTGATTGTTTTTATTTAGAATTTGGCAGTAATAAAAATGACAGTTTATGGATTCCGAAATAAATATCAAAGTTCAAAAATGATTTTGTGATAATAGTTTTTATTTTACAATAAAAGAGATACCCAATACCCTTGTCAAAAAACACTATGCATGGTGTTCTATACTGTACCTAAAGTGTCTTATAGTGTTTTTTTAGTGCTTTTGTGGTGTTAAATAGTGTGTTTATAGTGTTGTCAAGTGGTATTGTAGTGTTCACTAGTGTCTTATAGTGTCATTAAGGAAAGTTAGTGTACACTAACCCAGACACGTGTCTATAGTGTTTGGAGAACACTTTAGTGTCAAATATTGTGATAAATATCAACACAGTAGTCATGAAGCCTACACAAGGTGCCCGAACTTAATAGGGGAAATTGAGGAATCGCACAAATTAAGTCTTTTTTCTCACCACCAGCAGCGCTGATTGTCGATGCGTACTGACGTCTGCTGTTTTGGTAGCGTTTCGGTACAAATCAAGTAATCGTTTATTAATAAACGGAACACCAGCGCCCTCTTATCTTGGGAATATTTTTGTATACATGAAGTTCGGACTCCTTGACCGAAGTGTTTGGAGCAGAGGTCGGCAAAAAATAATTTTTTTTTGGTAATATTTTTGTTTATTTTTTCAATATTTTAAAATGACAGAGCCGATATTTTTACTTTGATAACATTTTTCATAACCATAAAAATCAAAATTATACATAAAAATAAGAATTACAATTAAAAAAAAAATGGTAAAAAATAAATGTAATAATGCCAATCCAAAGAAAAGAAATTTTTACAATTTAACTACCTGCAGGTGGAAGGAAAAAAATAATAATAAAATTATATGTAATTACAAAAGTTTAAATACATACATATTTTTAAAGAAAATTGAACGCTCTACAAAAAATGTCCCTTATATATTTTTTTATAAATTTACTTCTTTTATAGTTATTCAAGGTTGAAATTAGACATATAATAAATTTAACGTTTTTTTTCAATTGGTGGCATAATAATAAACCTTATCACTCATTATTGTACAGGATGGTCCAGTTTGTAATACATTAATTTTAATAGGTGATAAAGCATCAAAAATAAGGTAGACTTTCATAAAAAACATTTCTTAAAAATGTTTCCTAAGAGAAATACAGGCCGTCAAAGTTTCCAAAAAAAAAATAGTTTTCTCTTCATAACTTTTAAACCACAAAATTAATTACACACAATGTAATATAGTCAGTGCCTTAATAATGATGTAGATAATTATTATAAAAAACATCAGTGCTGCAGTTACTTGGGGGGCTGCTCCCCTTTTCACCTTAGTCTTTGACGCCACTGGAAATTTTAAAATAATAAATAAATGTTTAGGTCAAGTTTTTAATTAAGGTAAAATTTTGATTTGGGGCTTCGTTTCTAAAATATTTGCTCAAAAATTTTTTCTCGCAAAATTACATTTTTAGATTGTCTGTTCAATTTAGAGATAAAAAAACTACTGTGCTAAAATTTTAATTTAGGGCTTCGTTTTTGAAATATTTGGGAACACACTCCAAAAAAACTGCGGCAAAAGTATTCTTCGATAAATAAATAAATAATTTAAAAAATGAAGCACTAAATCAAAATTTTACATGAGTAGTTTTTTTCTCTAAATTAAACTGATAATCTAAAAATGTGTTTATTATTAAAAAAAATTCCAGTGGCGCCTAAGGTGAAAAGAGGAGCAGCCCCCCAAGTAACTGCGCCACTGATGTTTTCTTTAAATAATTATCCACATCATTACTAAGACATTGACTATATTGTGTACAAAATTTGATAAAAATTGATTAAGTGGTTTAGAAGTTATGATGGGGAAACGAGTTTTTTTTGTAAACTTTGACGGAAAGCGTCTCTGCGAGGAAACATTTTTAAGCAAATATTTCAGAAACAAAGACCCAAATCAAAATTTTACAAGAGTAAATTTTTTCTCTAAATTAAAAACTTGACCTACAAATTTATTTAAATTTTTAAAATTTTTAGTGTCGTCAAAGACTGAGGTGAAAAGGGGAGAAGTACCCCCACATTATTATTAAGGCACTGACTATATTACATTTTGTGCCAAATCTGATGAAAATTAATGTTGTGGTTTAAAAGTTATAAAGAGAAAACTAGTTTTTTGTAATCTTTGACGGCCTGTATTTTTCTTAGGAAACATTTTTGAGAAATGTTAATTAATGAAAGTCTACCTTCAAATTAATGTATCACAAACTGGACCGCCCTGTATAATCTTTTTTAAAAATTTTATTTAAATTATGTTTCTTAAAAAAAAATTATCGCTCATTCCAATATGTCTACTCAAAAAAAAGTTATAAAATTAAAAGTTAAAAAAAAATCCTGTGTTATTTAAACGTTACATTTATTATATGTCTAATTTCAACCTTGAATAACTATTAAAGGAGTGAATTTACGAAAAAATTATAAGAGACATTTTTTGTAGAACGTTCAATTTTCTTCAAAAATATATAGAGTTCATTCCAATATGTTCACTCAAAAACGAGTTATAAAATTTCAAAGTTAAGAAAAAAGAATTCCTGTGTTATTTAAACGTAAAATAGAAATTCACGATGAGCGACCTCTAAATATTTATATTAAGAGCTACAATTTTCCAGGCTTCTTTTTTCACTACTAGGAAGATATTTTAATGCGGGCTTTGAAGAAAAAAAAATATTCGACTTTTTTGAACCAGTCTAATATACAAGGTGTCCCTAAACTTAGTGGCATAAATTTAGGAGCAGATTATTAAAGGACGAAAATTTATATGATAAAAAAAAATTTAATTGAAAAAACTACATTTTTTTTTAATGTGACGGTCAGGGCAAAAAGTCCCGAGGCTCATGGAATGCCCTTTTTAGTTTTTTCAATTAAAAAATAAAATTTGTTATCATATACCTTTTAATCTTTTTAAATAATGCGATAAAACAATTATTGTAATCTCAAATATCTCGAAAACGGTTTATTTTATCGAAGTTTGAGAGGTATATCTTTTTAATGGTAGCCGAACTGTTTAATCGATAAATTGCATCAAATGTTACAAAAACCTAACCTCAAAGTTTGTATGGGACAATAAGCTTAAAGCATCCCCCGTTTCTACGACACTGTGTTCACTCAAACAATTGTCATTATGTGTGAATATGTGTTTTGGTAGTAAGTGACTGTTCACAAAATATCACCTTTCCAAGTCTACCATAGTAGAAGTTATATTAAAAAAACTGATATGATAAGTAACACTTTATCACCCTGTAACTTTTAAACATACGTAATTAGGAAAAATATTTATTTAGATTTTCATCTTATTTTGACTTGCTTAATCTGCTCCTTAATTTATGCCACTAAGTTTAGGGACACCTTGTATATATATATATATATTATATATATTATATATGCCATATATACAGTATGTCTCGAGACATCAGTACCTTAGAATCATATGGAAAACTTTTTTATTATTAATTTTAGGAAAAAAAGTTATTCTTTATTAAAAGTTCTGCATGGTGTAGAACTTAAAATGCAACCCACAAATATTAAATTTTTTTAGTCGTATCGGGTATGTCAAAAAATATAAATTTGGCTCAAGAGAAAAGTACCTTAATATTTGACAATATCGAAAATTGTTATAAAGAAAAGTTAATCAGAACTAAAAACTACGTCCAAATATGCAATTTTATCCATTTACATTAAAAAATTAAGTTTTGATAATTTTTACTAATTTTTCTATTTTAAATGAACATTTACCCAGATAGCACAAGACGTACCCAGGACGTCCATTTCGGGTCCCACATAGGTCCGAACGTCCTAGACCTATAACGGAAGTTTTGGGTACGTCCAGTCTCTTACTTATTTGGGAAAATTATAGCGGATATACTGGGTACGTCCCAAGGACGTAATTGAAGCATTGTATTTCCAAAGGGTCTAAATAATATATTATAATTTGAAAATAGTTTGTGTCATGCAGAATGACTTAATAGTATATTCTGTAACAAGTTTGGAATACAGCATATCCGCTCGAGTAAAGAGTTTGTCACACGAGCCGAAGGCGAGTTTAACGGTTTCAGGAGAGCGGAATATGCAATTCCAAACGTGTTTCAGACGTTTCAACATTTACATGTGCAAAATATTTGTTTTTCATTGATAACTCACAATTTTATTTTTGTAACTTAGACCCCCCAGACAGCATCCAATTCAGAAAGATTTCTGTAAGAAGTCTGTTGAATAACATCTTACTGAGGTCACAATATCGATGACTTTTTGCCAAAGTATTGCAAGCAACATAACCCAAATTTTGGGAATTGAAAACATTTTGCTTGTCTGTTTTAAATTAAATATAGCCTAAAGGTTTTATAACAAGTAATTACTTAGCTTATAATTATAGCTATTTACTTGTTATAAAACCTTTATGCTATATTTAATTTAAAACAGACTTTAAAACAAAAAATGTTTTAAATTCCCGAAATTTGAGTTATGTTGCTTGCGATACTTTGGCAGAAAGTCATCGATATGACATCTTAGAGAAATCATTTTTAGGAGCTCAAGAGTTCTTGATGAATTCATAAATAAGAAGTAAATTTTTTAACATCTTAAAGTATCTTTTTTTCTGACCCCTTATTGGAATCAAAATTAGAAGCTACCCTATACCTATAGGTATCATAAATAAGACTTTAATTATATGATATTTTACAGTATTCTCTTTTCTTACTTCTTACTGAAATCATATTATTAACTCTTTAAGACGTCAACATGGAGACGTCACATTTATGACATTTTAATGCGATTCTTTCTTCTCACCGCTGT